ACCGTAGTTTCGAAGAAGCCTCCACAGTGTTTTCCTATCCACGCTATCAAATGCCTTCTCGTAGTCGATGAAGTTGATGTAGAGTGGTGAGTTCCATTCAATTGATTGCTCCACAACGATCCGTAATGTAGCAATTTGGTCAGTACACGATCGATCCTTACGAAATCCAGCCTGTTGATCTCGAAGTTGGGCGTCTACGAAGTCCTTCATTCTGTTTAACAACACCCTGTTGAAGACTTTGCCTGGTATTGAAAGAAGAGTGATGCCTCTGTAGTTTTCACACTTGCTGAGATCGCCTTTCTTTGGTATTTTGATTAGATAATAGTTAATTCTCGCTTTATTTACTTATCTACATTATAATTTCTATTGTGTATTATTCATTTGCAAAATTTAATCAATAATAACATTATTTATCATAATACAATTAACCTTTCATAGCATAAGTTGATGTTTACACGTTTTAATAAAAATTAATATGTTGTATACGAAGCATACATCACAAATTATTATTGCATAGACAGATTGCTATGAGATTTCGTTGCTTAGGTGATAATCAAAAAAAAATAATGAAAATATTCTGTTTAGAGAATATTGAGGCTATAAATTCTCTAAGTACATAAATAAGGTTGGGAAATTCATTGTACATAAACATATAAACAATGAAAGAAAAACCAACATATATTTCAGTTACTTATGAGTAGTATAAAATTTATATTATAAAAAATGTCTGGTTGGAGCCTCTCTGAGGTTACCGCCGGTTTCAAGTCTCTGGATAAAGTGGGAGGGTTGGGTATGGAGTCAGTGACCCCATCCCTTAGAAAACTAACTCTTTAAAAAAAACCCTGACCAGAAAAGATGGTTGCGATTTTAAAGAGGTAAGATATCGTTTCACAAGTGCCTTTAAAAGAAACTTAAACAGTTCCTTTTGTTAGTTCAGCAATAATAATCAAGAATACCCAGAAGTAACAACAAACGAAGAAGATAAAATTGATCTAATCTTTCTCATATATATAGTTAACAGACTGGTTAATATCCAGGTCATATTTTTTATTTGTTTAACATATTTTTTAATGAGAGAAAATGTTACACAGCTGATAAGATCAATATGCATCATGCTATTTATTATTGTATGTGATACAAAACATTTGGACCTGAACTATGAAAAAGAAAAAAATGTTAACTATTTCAGATGAAAATTCTTTCCAAAGTTTACTTATCTGATTTCACGTTATTATGAAATGGATTCTGAAGAAATATTGATCGAGAAAAAAAAAATAGGTGAGAAATCAGTGAGTATCAATTAGGAAGCAATTAAAATTGATTATTGTCTTTGCATAAAATGAATTGTCAATATTTTTTTCCTGAATTAATTTCTTGTCAAAGGTGAGAGAAAAGATAATTTCACTGTTTATATCTTTTTATTTGATGATAATGTATGTTAACGAAATTATAATGAATTAGAAAGTTAATGACATTAGGAGCTCAGCAGTAATCTCTCCGGTTTTAGTGTGTTGCGCGCTACTTATAAGTAGTATATGACGTGAGTGTCAACGTTATGTCTGGCAGCAGAAGATGGGGGAAGATCAAGCAAGAAAGGAAGAAGAGTGGGAACACAATGGAATGAATGTATGAAACGCATGAATAGTGAAATGTCAGACAATGGATTGAAGATGTGCAAATTAACGATTTACGATATGGTTTTCCTATTTTACTGAGTAACTCTGTAATTTCCGTTTAATACAATTCGGTTGCCCTCACCTGTGTTCTCCTTCACTACATTAGTATTTCTCAAATACACATTTCGAACGTAGCAGATGTCCTAATTTGTCGTGAGCACATAATCAAGCGAAGAGTTATCGGTCAATATAGTTAGCACAATTTTTCAAGCGTTATTGTTTAATGTATTTGGCTTATGGCTATCAATGGAATCCAGTAGACTTATTTCGCTTGATTGAAGACGAATTATCAGGATGTACTTGTTGCATGCTGGTGTTAATGTTCAGTATTTATTACTCACTCAGCTTCTAAGTCACAAGAGGTGATAACTTCCTTAAGGAATGTGGATAAGTTAGTTAGGGTTTGTAATTTCCCACTAGTGGAATTAAGAATTATTACTAATCAGCCTCTCTTGACATATGCATATCCTGAGTGGATTGGGTTCGTGTTTCAATATTTACACTGATGAAACTCGAGTAGGAAGAAACATGTTTCCGATATTACACAACTGCTAGTCACAAATCAAATATACGGCAAGCTTGCGATATAAGTGCAGTCTTTCCAGAATGTATATATAGCAAAAATGACTGATCGTTCGCAATTTTCAATATTAACAGCGGGGAAGCACAAACTCCTACTAACTATCGTCTAGTATCTAAAGCCGAACAATCTTTAAAGTTCATAGTATATATATATATATATATATATATATACTACGTACTTTTTTCATAATGGCTCAGTCATGATAAAGATTCTGAGTGAGGACCAGTGTTTGACAATCATCAAACATCTAAGATGACCTTCACGCATTGTTTATTGAATGACCACTTAACCTAATTAAACCGTGTGCATGATGAGACCATAATTTATTGGCAAACCAATCAAGTTCACAATGAGGAATAGTGGATTTCAGCGCGAAATTCAGTCATTCATATTGGAACACGTGTAATCAGCGGTCACTGAAAGGAGGATGAGATCCAAAATCACAACATACAAGGTTAACTTAACAGTTCACACCAAGAGAGAACAGGAAGTGGTAGTCACGGTACTCTTTATTTCAAAACCAAATAACGCGGGTTTTTTACTGAAATGGGATTGCTTTTTCACCAAAGTCTTATGAGTCATCCTGTAAGTTCAGAGCACTCAGGTCTTGTTCTTCAGCTTCCAAAGCGTTTACGTTTGATCATCCTGCAATAGAAATAAAGCAGAATGGGTTAGCAACATCATACTCAGTGATTTTAACTCCGTTACAAAATGGTTAAGCATTATTTTGGCATTATGTCAGTACATGATGAAAACCCTAACTCTAATTCCTAAGCCTAACTTCTAACTCTAAATGTCAATTCTAATTCCTCATATTAATTTATGGCTCGTTTTTTAGGCCCTAGTAATCAGTCATTTTTCGCCAACGTCATGAGTAAATAAAGCCTAACTACTCAACAAATGCAAAGTGGGTTTATAACTATAAATGAACAAGTCTATTTATGTCCGGATTGAACTAATCATACATTTCAATCAAATGACTCATCGAATGAGACCAATTTACTAATGATTACGTTAAACTTAAATTGTTACAGCTTGACAACCTCAAAAATACAGTCACATGTCTAACTTCTATTGTCATAGACTCTGACTAAATCATAATTTTTATTTGTAATGAGAAAAAAAAACAGAATACTGATCGATTCAAGTCCTTTTCAATTTGATTAGTGGGAAAAGTTTACAAATAATAAGCCTTAATTCAAGCCGGTAGATTATTTGTCGTCCAAGTAGTGTAAATAAATATTTTCAATACAAATGTCAAGAGACAGTTCTACTGTAATATGGAGCGGACAACTTGAGGAACTACGAAAGCCATCATCCAGTAAGATACAAGTATTTATGAACAGTGTTGTCGAAGCAAAAATACTTCGGATTCGTTTGACCAGACCACCAATCAGCAACACAACTACTTGGTGGGACGAGAACAAAACCAGTTTCCAAGTGGAGGAGGAAATCAGGAAGAAGTGGTGGAAGTGGATAGGACACACACTACGAAAAGCACCTAACTGCGTCACGAGACAAGCCCTCACATGGAACCCTCAAGGCAAAAGGAAAGAGGAAGGCCAAGGAACACATTACGCCGAGAAATAGAGAAAGATATGAGAAGAATGAACAAAAACTGGAAAGAACTGGAAAGGGAAGCCCAGGACAGAGTTGGTTGGAGAAAACTGGTTGGCGGACTATGCTCCATTGGGAACAGG